GGAAGATGGGACTGCATTGTTAAAATTATAATACATAAAAACTAAATATTATTAATACATAATGCAAAAAAGAAAATGAAAAAGAAAATGTCTTATAGAAATAAGAAATTTTTAGTAGTACTACTTTAATCCCGACTACTAATTAAAATTCGAGACTGTTATAAACCAGACATGACATGACATGACCAAAATTATTTTGCTTCAGTGTTAAAACGTAGGCCTACGTTGTAATTATTGCTTTACACGTAACAATGGTTTGATAATGAAAGAAAAAGAAATAACGGGGAGCATCAACGAGATTTTTTGTTTGTAATTTCATCAGACAAAAATGAAACTACTGAACACTTAAAGAAAGCGGGAACATGGAAGCTATTGAAAATACGTGTAGGGACACTCAGGATTTTGAGGTTTTACCGACATCAAGTGGTCAGACTGTATAAAAACGCAGGGAACTACTATGACGATAGAGTGGTTTTATTTATGCTGTCCACGATTAGACAAGGTGTTATGACAAAATAATTTCTGCAAGTGAAAGCAAGAATATGAAAGATTTTCATTATTTTCATTTCGTCAGTATTTTTAAAACGTCTGGAGAATTTGCACTGACGCCTCCATTTCACCATGTATATAGATTTACACAAAGGGTGCCGTAGGGCAAACTGCAATCAGAGGCCAATAAAACGAGATTATTTCCGCTGGCTTTTTTGCACGTAGTCGAGTCTTTCTGAAAGCGAAGGGTGACTGAAGAAAAAAAAACTCTCCAAATGGGTGTCGGGCCTTTGGAAACGGTCTAATTGTGTCTGGACGGCCATAAAGCCATTGAAAATGGAATGCCAATGTCTGTTGCCGTGTCTGCGATTCATTGCCTTGTCTCCGTGGTGAGGACTTCGAAGTCAAAGTCCCCCGCTATACCTGTACTACTTATGCCTCCAGTAACTTATATATTATATAAGCCTTATATAATATAAAACATATTAATTTTTACATTTTAATGTTTGTATGTTTGAACAGACGTCACGTTGAGCAAAAGCACCTCATCATGGAGGCCAGGACGATAGGTCTGCTTTTTTAATTCCACAGATTCAGACAACACAAGACGCGTTGTTCACTGGCCCCAGCTGTCGAGTCCCATAATATCTCTGTTGTGTTGCGTTCTCTCGCCTCACAGCGCTTTGCACACCATAAACGGTTATAGCAGTAATTGTCTTTTATAGCAGCATGCAGCTAACAACCTTATCTGTCAGACCGGTCTACGGGCCTGTTCTCCCCGAGTACAAACTCGCCCAGCATAGCCTGGACTCAGAACACATTCCTCAAGAGTCGATGGCAGGTCTATGAAATATCCATCTCCTGGTATGGGTAATAATAATAATAATAATAATAATATATATATATATATAAAACATTAAAATTTTTATTTAGCCTACATGTTTTTTTGTTCCAGCGGCTGCACTATAAAATTCGGTCATCATATTTCTTATTAAATGTTTACATAGCATCTATTAATTAAAATAAACCAATGAATAATCAGATACAAATATGAAATAATTCAACAAAAATTAAATTCAATATTTATTTTCTCATGATGCAAAATACAACTGCCTGGAAACTACAAGAAAATCGATCAAAATTACATAAATATTTACATGTAATTTAATACATCGTTCTACTTAATTTTTATTTAAAATATCACGAGGACTACAAAATCTAAGGGAGACTTGTTTGGAAATATGAAATGCTTTTATTATTCAATAAATAAATTCACAAATTACATCTGAGAAATTTAAGTAAACAAAACAAAAACTAAGTAAACTAACGATATGACGGTCAACAGACCATGAGGTATTTGAAAAGATGCCTACAGTGCTTTTATCTACAGCTCAGTATCTATTTTTACTTGTTCCCTGAAGTTCGCAGACTTCACCCAATATCATAACGGCTGATATGGCATGAAAATTTTGGTCGATTCGAAACAAATAGGTAGTGAAGTGACTAGGTAGTCGTAATGTCATTAATTGTCAATACAAAACAAAACAATTTCTAAGGGCACATATAAACGGAAATAATATAAGGGTACATGATCTCATGTACACAAGTGTATGAACTGTACATAAACCTGGGCCCATTTTTTTTCTAGTAAAAGTTTAGGAAACGCTACAGAACATAAGAAAACTGTTAAATTGCGGCCCGAAATACACACTGATCTACTAACTACAATTAAAGAGGAATAACATATAGTTCCGACATATTAATTCATTACTAATAAATTTGGTCCAAATGAAATACAGAATTGTGAAAAATGCTGCGTCAGCGAGTATTTAAACATACGTCTGAAAAATAGATTAGTGCCGTATTCATTAAAATGGAACCACTTTTGACAAACAATAGCCTAATCCAAATAGCCTAATATATAAAACTATTGGTTCCAAGCATGCTTTAAGAAAATGCTTGAATAACACAAGACCTAGGCCTAATGTAATATCCCACGAAATTATCATTTCAATTAAAGGATGGATTATCTCACATCCTCACCTACACGAAGTGCTTAATTCTTAGTCGTCCTTCGTTCCATCTTTGTTTAATTTTTTCATCTTCATCCTGCGGTTTTGGAACCAAATTTTGACCTGTCTCTCCGTGAGGTTCAGTAGACGGGCGACTTCGAACCGCCGGTCGCGCGTGAGGTAAGTGTTAAATAAAAACTCTTTCTCCAGCTCGAGGATCTGGTGCTTAGTATAAGGGCATCGTTTTTTACGCGTCGAGCTCGCGTGAAGCCAGTTGGACACAGGGTTGTCTGGGGAAAGGTAGAGGGAAGGGAATGAGGGTTTCGAAATCATAAGCGAGTAGATAATGATTTTAACACAAACCCCTATCTAAAATCCAGACCATGGCATAAATCAGTTACCCAAACATATCTCATGGCCTCCTAACAATCATGTCTAAACCGAAGTAATATTTCGAACAATTTTACAGCATTTAACTAAAATGAGAATCGGGTAAAACACATGAATTTATCAGTAGTGATTAACATAAGTTTAATATAATTGCACTCATATATCCCACCATTTGGCCAGCCTTACCTGGATCAGCGCCCGGTTTCTCCTCTACATCGCCTCCCTTATCAGCAGTCCGGCCAGATACTGTCTCAGTGTCGGTAGAACATCCTCCGTTACTGAAGTCTCTAGAAGGGAGTACGGCATGTGAACTGGCCTCTGTGCCGTTATCATTCGTTCTGTTTGTATCAGGTTTGGCATGATAGTGATGATGGACCGTCGGTAGCTCAGTGAGAGGCAGCCCACATGCAGAGTCCAAGAGCCAAGACTGCACGTAATCCCCAGCTACTGGAGGTTGCGTATGCGGCTGATACACTGATGGTACAGCACTGGAGAAATGCGTGGGGATGTGGCCCCAACCCGAGCCACCATAAACGGGTTGCTTTACCGGGAATGTGCAGGGACCGAGCTCTGTATGGTCTGTGGGTAGTAGAACGGAGGGCCTGTGCTGAATGAGACCTGAACCTGAGGAGAAGCGAGTCTCCTCGTTGTCCGGCATAACAAGAGAGTCAACATAATATCCTGTCAGAGCTCCGGATGTCGACATGGCAGGGACGCACTCTCATGTATACACACACATAAAAACACTAACACGCACATACAGTAACACGCTCACAAAATAACAATCTGTGAAAATGGAGAGGCAACTTCCCCCTCACAAAGCTCCAGTCAGCTAATAAGTTGAGAGCAAACTGCCATTTGATTGGGTGATGTGCACACGTGACCACTGGAACAGAACAAAAAAAATCAATGGAATTTCTGTGAAAAAGAAAAGTAAAAAAAGATTGCTTTAGTTCTAATCTTCTCCTGTAAAAACAACCAACGAATGAGCTATAAGAAATAAACAGGCATACACTCTTAAAAATAAAGGTGCTTCAAAAGGTTCTTCACAGGCGATAAGATACACCTCTCACCTCGCTCTGCTGGGGCCCCTGCGCTGGGCTGGAGCTGACACATTTCTGCTAACAATCACATCACACACCGGACCCACATTCCGCCTTTCTGGTCCCCTTGGCTTTTTTTCCATTCACTTCCAAACGAGCCTCCAACCAATGGGTCCGATCCCACCGCCGAGAGGTCAGAGTCATTAAAACAGTTCGGGATGTTTGCTATTATATAATCTTCTTCTAAAAACTTACAGGACAGTCCCTCTGTTCTTAACATATCAGCTTTGTCATGTACATACACACAAAAAAAGAAAAAAAGAAAAAGAGGAAGTTCTCTGATGAGGGTCAATGGTTACATTTTTAGAACGTTCTACACTCTTAAAAATAAAGGTTCTTCACAGCGATGCCATAGAAGAACCATTCAGACAAAGGTTCTTTAAAGAACCATCTCTTTCTTACATTTTTATAATCTGAAGAACCTTCTTTTGCCACAAAGAACCTTTTGTGAAAGGTTCTTCAGATGTTAAAGGTTCTTTATGGAACCATTTAGACAAAAAGGTTCTTCTATGGCATTGTGAAGCACCTTTATTTTTAAGAGTGTATTTACAAAATTTAAACACTTAAAGCAAAAAAAAAGAAATATTATCTGAATTTGTTTAGATCAGAGATTCAAAGCACAATCGCAAGGATGTAGTTTACACAATTTCATGTTCTGTCTCATGTGAATTGACTGCATTCGAAGCTAGAAAATCTACACAGGCTTTCTGCAGACAAACAGCATAGACAGGAGACATGGCCAGAAATGTATCAAACCGACAATGACAAAGAAATCGAGACGGATTAGATACACTATGGTAAGGTCCTGTTTTATGTATACTGCACATAATAGATGTTCTAGTGCGATTCTAATTTAGATAATTTACCCATTGAAATAAAATGGTTACAGAACAGTGTACATGACGACCTGGATTCAGAGGGGAAGCAACCATGGTCAGCTTCATATATATATATATATATACATAGCATGCCAGTAGTTTCTAAATACATTTTGTCCTTTATGCATTAAAATACTCTTCACATAGTATATTATTTCAGAATGTTCACTATGAATGTTAATAATATACTGTAATGACTGACTGAAAGAACTTTATTTATAACGATACAAATTATTCGAATTGATTGTCCAGAATCTTCTATATTTGCACATTTCTATCAGAAAAACTGCTCCAGAAAAATACACGTCGCAGCCAAACATAAGCCTTAAATGTCTCAAATAAAGCACTAAATCCATAAAGAATACGATTGATACGATGAAAATGGAAACGTGCAATTTGGCAATTACTACATTACATTTATCAAATTATATGAATCTGCTCAATCGTAAAGACAACGTCAAAATGGTTATGACATTCAAAGTGACTTGGTACAGAAAATGTAAGTGCCACTTAAAAAATTAAAGAGCTTTTATTAATACTAATATTATTATTAATAATAATAATAGCAGAATATAGCAAAAAAGTATATACTTTTACTATTATTGTTGTTGTTGTGGGTTGTTGTTATTACAAATGTTGTTGTTGTACGTTTTATTCGGCAATCATTGGACATAAGTGGATTCCATTTATAAATCGTTTATTTATAAATGATGGTTGCCAAACAAAAAGCAGTTAAAATAAGTTAACTATTACTATAGAATTTACCGGCACAAGCAAACAAAATTAACATAAAACTTAATACAATAAAGGAATCTCAAGTAAAAACGAGTAACTGCCATTTAAAATGTTTTAATCAAGTTTATTTTCAACAGACATATAAGTACAAAAAAATAAAAAATAAAATAAAGTCTAATGTGCATCGGCTCATAATTGTGAGCCTCCTACAACAATGAAATTCCAGAAATAGGCTATCAAAGACAATATGATTTCCCCCCCCAAAAAAATTAAATAATTGTTCACACTATTTAATAGTTCATCAGTGATTACCAGATGGGCATTCAGAAGGATTTTACTATTTTACAGCAGGAAACGAAGCTAGCTACTTCTCAAAAAGAAGACAGAGACGGAAACAGCATGGCCCTTTGAGGCCGTAAACTGCTAAGGGGTGTTTGTTAACACAACCGAGTTTTACCATAGGCGTTATTCATGCTTTTTAGGCACAAATAAATTCCCTTTAGCTGTACTGGTGTGCCACCATAAAGTCAATCTTGTCTTTTGTGTTCAGCCACTTCTCACGGCGCTAGGCGGAAGCCGGGGAACGTAATTTCTCGAGCTCAGTGGCACGCCACCGAGGTCGCTGTTGCTTACAGCAGACCAGGCTCGATTGCCGTGTATTGGACGTAACCGAGGCCTTGTCAAGTACTGTCTACACTGAGTTCGACAAATTAGTGTCTACATTCAGTCCAAATATTAAAACATCAAACAACTCACAGCGACTGTGTTCAAAAGGCATTTTCTGAAATAACAATAATGCTTTACATTTTATACTAGCAATTTAAATGATTTGGGACTGTTTCGATGTCCACTAGGTGAAAAACTGTAGGCTAGATCTTATGTTACGGACGAATGAAACTGGGGCAATTAAGACAGTTTCGTGTTGCAGAGTTTAAATATACAATCCCAACAACATGAAACTACCTAAACCACTCGACAGTCTGGTTCAACTCTTCAGACAAAACAACTAATGGTTACAAATCGCCAGCATACCTTTCATCTAATCTTTAATCTGCATTTTCTATCAAACAACATAAATTTTTCGTAACAGCCAAGACTATTCGTGTCAGAATAGAATCTTACCTGTATTAACTTCATTTAAATGAAACGGAGTACCAAAAAACCGTTTTCCATCGCCTGAAATCCGAACGTCTTTATTCCTGCCTCTATTAGTCTGTACTGAGGGTATTCACGCAGAAAAGTGACGAGCCTCATAAAGTAGCCAGCAATAAAATGCCACAAAAGCAGACTAAAGTCGCCATAATACTACGGTGTCTATACATGTTGTGCCCCTTAATTTGCTGAAGTATGCTTAAATACATTTCCGCCAACGGGGAATTTCATTGCAAAACGAAATTTGACTTCAAAAAGCTACAACATATATTTAAAACACTTTCACGGCAAAGCTCAACACAGGTCAAGTAAGCACAAATGTAAACTTTAAAACTTGAAAACCAACATTACATGTGTAAATTTTTACACATACACAAGCACATTCTTTATCCGATGCCAGAACACTAGGCCTAAATCATTTCTTTCCGTTTCGCCGCACATCGTATAAACGACCTAGGCCAACGACCTTTTAATTGATGGTGGATTCCATTTATAAATCGTTTATTTATAAATGATGGTTGCCAAACAAAAAGCAGTTAAAATAAGTTAACTATTACTATAGAATTTACCGGCACAAGCAAACAAAATTAACATAAAACTTAATACAATAAAGGAATCTCAAGTAAAAACGAGTAACTGCCATTTAAAATGTTTTAATCAAGTTTATTTTCAACAGACATATAAGTACAAAAAAATAAAAAATAAAATAAAGTCTAATGTGCATCGGCTCATAATTGTGAGCCTCCTACAACAATGAAATTCCAGAAATAGGCTATCAAAGACAATATGATTTCCCCCCCCAAAAAAATTAAATAATTGTTCACACTATTTAATAGTTCATCAGTGATTACCAGATGGGCATTCAGAAGGATTTTACTATTTTACAGCAGGAAACGAAGCTAGCTACTTCTCAAAAAGAAGACAGAGACGGAAACAGCATGGCCCTTTGAGGCCGTAAACTGCTAAGGGGTGTTTGTTAACACAACCGAGTTTTACCATAGGCGTTATTCATGCTTTTTAGGCACAAATAAATTCCCTTTAGCTGTACTGGTGTGCCACCATAAAGTCAATCTTGTCTTTTGTGTTCAGCCACTTCTCACGGCGCTAGGCGGAAGCCGGGGAACGTAATTTCTCGAGCTCAGTGGCACGCCACCGAGGTCGCTGTTGCTTACAGCAGACCAGGCTCGATTGCCGTGTATTGGACGTAACCGAGGCCTTGTCAAGTACTGTCTACACTGAGTTCGACAAATTAGTGTCTACATTCAGTCCAAATATTAAAACATCAAACAACTCACAGCGACTGTGTTCAAAAGGCATTTTCTGAAATAACAATAATGCTTTACATTTTATACTAGCAATTTAAATGATTTGGGACTGTTTCGATGTCCACTAGGTGAAAAACTGTAGGCTAGATCTTATGTTACGGACGAATGAAACTGGGGCAATTAAGACAGTTTCGTGTTGCAGAGTTTAAATATACAATCCCAACAACATGAAACTACCTAAACCACTCGACAGTCTGGTTCAACTCTTCAGACAAAACAACTAATGGTTACAAATCGCCAGCATACCTTTCATCTAATCTTTAATCTGCATTTTCTATCAAACAACATAAATTTTTCGTAACAATTCGTGTCATTCGTGTCAGAATAGAATCTTACCTGTATTAACTTCATTTAAATGAAACGGAGTACCAAATCCATCGCCTCCATCGCCTGAAATCCGAACGTCTTTATTCCTGCCTCTATTAGTCTGTACTGAGGGTATTCACGCAGAAAAGTGACGAGCCTCATAAAGTAGCCAGCAATAAAATGCCACAAAAGCAGACTAAAGTCGCCATAATACTACGGTGTCTATACATGTTGTGCCCCTTAATTTGCTGAAGTATGCTTAAATACATTTCCGCCAACGGGGAATTTCATTGCAAAACGAAATTTGACTTCAAAAAGCTACAACATATATTTAAAACACTTTCACGGCAAAGCTCAACACAGGTCAAGTAAGCACAAATGTAAACTTTAAAACTTGAAAACCAACATT